ATATCTTCTGTCCAGTGCTTATCCAGTGTCTGGTAGAAAACCACCAGTGAAAGTAACTTCCCGAGGCAGTTTATTCACTTCCTTAGTTTCTAACAGCAAGGATTTTTTTCCCTTGCTCTATAATCTAAATCTGCTTTATGGTTATTTAAAGCCACTGATTCATGAATCATCGTCTGCAGCAAGGGAAAACAGTTATTCTCCTACTTTAAGAGGCATAGCACCTTTAAGAAACTGGAAGCAATTTACATAGCCTTTCAAATATTTGAAAACTGCTAAAATGTCTCCCCTTTAATCACTTTTTCTCCACATTAAACATTGCTAGATCTCTCTACCTTTCACACTGGTTAAAATTAGGCCTGTAGGTTAATCACAGTTAACTTACGCAATTAACACCCCCCTCCAATTTACACATTAATATTTTAATCGCGTTAATCAGGCACATCGTTTTGACCCGAATGAACCAGCTCTGGGCCAGTCGGAACCTTTGCGCACATCCTCGATCCCAGCTTGCCCCATGCCTGCTCCAGACTCACCTGCCCATGCTGAGGCGGCAGCAGCTGGACAGAAACTGCTACTTGGCACAGGGGTGGGGGGAGGGGAGATGTCACCCCTCTCCCTCACCGCTGCCAGGCCTTTCTTCCTGCAGCCGCCCAGAGCCTACGCCCGGGCTGCCCTGTGGCTCCTCTCTGCTGATGTCACTGCCACCTCCAGGCCACCCAGCAGGGCAGCAGTGGCGGTGCAGAGGAGCTATAGGGCAGCCCCAGCACAGGCTCTGGGCAGCTGCAGCAAGGGCCAGGCAGTGGTGAGGGAAAAGGGCAGCTTTTTCTCCACTCAGCAGCAGCTTCTGCCTGGCTGCTGCTGCTCAGCATGGGCAGGTGAGTTTGGAGCAGGCGTGGGGCAGGCCAGGGTTGGGGCTGTTCTCACAGGTTCCAGCTGGTCTGCTTTGGCCAGGGCAAGTCAGGAGTGAGCACAGGGTAGGACCAGGGTTGGGGCTGGGGCTGTGCACTGTTGGTTGCGTTGGGGAGGAGCCACAGGGTGCCTGGGCTCTGAGCTGTTGGGCAGGAGGGTGCTGACTATTGTTTAACTGTGTGATTAAAATTGCAATTAATTGCAACTTTTTTTAAATCTTGCAATTAATCGCAATTATTTTTAATCATTTGTCAGCCCCAGTTAAAATACATTAAAAAAAGGAAGAGAGAAGGGAATAAAAAGGAGCAAAAATCCTCTTGGAGCTCAAAAAACTAAAGGGGAAGGAAATGATTTTAAGTGAATAACTTCATAATATATGTGTATATACAGTTTCTGCCCCAATAATAGGGAATTAGGTAAAAGGACATGGCTGACAGGTTTTGTTCAAAAACAATCAAACCCAGAAAAATACAGAAAAAAAAATTCCCTGCAGTGTCAAGTTGGTAAGTACCAGTACTCACTCCAACAGTTTGTCACAATGTGACAAACATTATATTTCTACCTACTTTGTGCAATTTCCTCCTCCTTTGATAGCAGGTAGTAATTGTGCTACTCAAATGTCAGCCTACACACAATATTCTTCATGCAACATTTTAGAAAAGATTATGGTTATTAAAAGGTAGTTTGTGAAAAGAAGTGGATTGCCAAATCACACATCCAAATATACTCTTTATCTTTAAACAGTCCCGCAAACTGTATACAGGTCCCCATCCAGTAACCTAACTGAAGGCACACTCTCCCTCCCTCCTTACCTTTCAGTGAAAGCATGAAACAGATCTGTATGAAAAAGAAACAAGCCGTGAATACGAGCAGAAGCAGAAATGTAGACTCTGCCACAAGGCATCACCATAGACTATCTAGGCCAGGCTCAGTAAGTCATTTAGCATAAGGTCTCCTGGACTTAAAGCAACCAAAAGAAAAACAGTTTCTCTAGTTGTGAATCCCCCATTATCCGAGGAAACTACACGTCTTACAAGCTCAGAGCATCAGAAAGCAGGCCTCCAGAGGGCATCAAGGCGGGAGTTGTCAGTCCCAAGACAGCCTCTACTTTTTTCACACCAAGCATCCAAAAGGTTGCCAAAGTCTTCCATTTAAAAGATCTCCCATGTAGAAAGATCTTATATAAACACCTTTCATTGACTTTTTAACAGGATCAGCTACGAGAGCTACACTGGTGAAGAAGGTAGAGTTTAGTGGAATCAAGAAAGCAAGCGCACATTCTTTTAGCAGCAAAGCGGTCCCAGATGCATAGAATACTTAGATTAAACAAATCCATCTAGAACAAAGTCATTCACAACCTTCAGTTTCTTAGAGAAACAGTTGTGCCTTCTCTTCCTTGAACATAAGCAATACAGAGTTATTAATGTACCTTTCAGTCGATGACTTAGAATCTGTTCCAGAATGGCTGCAAAATTATTAAATTCAGGGGAAGAATCATCAATAGTCTCAAAACAGGAACGATCAATCAGAGTCTTGACCGAAAACCTAAAAAAAGAACAAGATAATTATCAACTTTAAAGACAGTTTTCTTCCTCCACACTGAAGGGCACAGCATATTATATAGAAAAAGGGTAATATACACATACGTATCCCATACAGCATATTTAAGTTGTAACCAGAATAGTTCTCAGCCACCTATTGGTACAGTGAAAAATAACCTAGAAAATATTGTCAATCATCAACTTTAATTATATACTTAACATTTTATAAATGTCCTGTCTACATGAAAAAAAGAAAAGATAGTCATATTTCTTCTTTTTTTCCCCCTTTACTTTGAAGGGAAGTTCAAAATTGCTTACTGAAGATGGAGACTAAGTTCTGTCAGCAAAGAACACCAACATTATGTCCTTTAGTGATCTTAGCCAGAGAGATGGCATTTCCAAAAGAATAACCAGTCTTTTCTCAAAATTCCCTTCATGGAGTAATCAACAGATGAGAAAAAAAAGAATAGCATCAGTATTCCTAGAATATGATATTGACACACATCACAGACCTGAACAAGGAATCCATCTTTTCATCTCTTAAAAAGAATATCATCCATCTTCATTAAAGCTCTAATTTTTGTCTCAAAAATTAATTTACTATTAAACCTTCACTCAGACAGACACATTCCCCAAGAATGGAATCTGGCATTTCAAAAAAATGTTATTAATATAAAGCTGGAATTAAAGGTGTACTAAATGAGGCCCTTCTCTCAAAAAAAAAAAAAAAAAAAAAAAAAAAAAAATATTACACGGACGTTCAGACACGACTGGTCAATTTTGACAGAATTTAGTTATGCCTGTACTATTCATCTTCCTCCGCCTCAACTATGAAAGGACAGACTTTAAAACACAGAAGAGTATGAAAGCTATAAGGGTTTGTTCTCATTTCTTCTACCTCTCGAGTACAAGATCTCAGTCTCTTCTTCATTCCTCCCCTAATGCTTGCTCTTCAGTTTTCACTTAATGCAATGTGCATTATTTAACCCAGGGGTCAACAATGTTTTTGGCAGGAGTGCCAAAAATCACCCCAACCTCTACCCACACCTTGACTTAGCATGCTAGGGATGGGAAAGCCGCTAGAGTCCTGATCCTCATTGCTTGCAGTGGCTGCACGCATGCCTCCAGGACGACGTCGGGGGAAGGACCAGGGTGGCACTGCCTCAGCCCCTTCCCTGCCATGTGCTGCAACAAGCCACATGTGAGCCCACTACCACCAGGGAGCCAGTGCCAGGGCTCTGGATCCCAGTGCAGCTGTTTGCAACCTCCTGGTTGCCTTTCACAGCCAGCCCAGGCTCTGGACAGATGTAGCAGGCAGCTAGAAGGCTGCAAACAGCTGTGCCATGGCTCCACGACCCTGGCACCATGGTGGTGGCAGCTGCGCATGTGCCTCTGGGTGGACAGTGGGGGAGGAGCCAGGGTTGTGCTGCCCCAGGCCCCTTCCCGGCCATGCACCCAGAGGTGCACGCACCGCTGCTGCAACCACGGAACTGGTGCCCAGGCTGCGGAGCCCATGCAGCGGAGCCTCCAGGCTGCAGCAGGTCCAGACTCTGGGTCAGCTGTAGCATGCTGAGGAAAATGACTTTTTTTTTTTTTTTTTTTTTGCAAGCTTGTAGAATTTCTAGTGTTTGAAGGGGAAACATAGTCAAGGTATAATCCTCCAGCAATATCAGTGCCTAAATCCCCCCTTATCTTTTTACTAGCCATCAGTAGATAGGAAAGAATTTTCCCACTCATAATTACTTTTTAAGCCTGTGATCAGTGATTGTCACTACAATATTACTTTAACAGCAGCCATAAATGAATAGCTTCCTCAAAGCTATCCCACACTTACAATGTTACAAATAAGAGATGCTTCTATTTTAATTTTGGAAAACTCATAAATACAGAAACAATGAGATGAACTGCCATAAGTCAAAACAATAACTCTACCCACTTGTCTACTTGTACATCCAATCCTCTTGCATGATTAATTCCCTGCTGCAATGTAAAATGGGAAATGAGGCTCCCAGATTCATGTGTGTATACATATATGCATATTCTATATTAATAGTTCAGAATATGTTACTACATATGCCATGCAAAATATTAATCATAATTATGATCTTTAACATTAACACTTTGAAATGTAGCTGTCACCTGTACCTTAAACTACAAAACAGAGAGCGTAAACTGACAGAGGCATATATTGTTAAGGTATGGCACTAAAGACAGATTCATTAGCAGATAAAGCAATGGTACTCATAGGATGAAAAGAAAAACTGGAAGCATCCCAAAGATACTTAAAATAGAAGGCACTAGTTTTTCCTTGAAAAACTACTGAAACTCAGCAAAAAGAGAAAAGCACAATATACCTATTTTCTTGCATGCTGCACCCTCCCCCTAAAAACACACACCTTGTTTTTTTGAAGGTAGAAGGGGGAGCAGTGGGGAAGAGATTTTTCTGGCATCGCATCATGGCCTAGAGCTGGCTTTTCCATGAAGAGGCTGTGCCACTGCCCTCCAGGGCAGCAAGCCGACTCCATCCCTGCTTGCCTGCTGTCCTGGAGAAGGGGCAGCTAAATTTGCAGCACGGCCTCTATATGCTTTTAGTCCAGCAAAAATCAGCTTCCCTGCTTAAGACACATACCCTAATTCTGGATGTCTGATTTTGTGGGGAAAGGTGCATGTGATATGTGAGTAAATATAGTATTAGTTCAACTTCATAACTATATGGGGTGGGGAGCCTACACAAATATTCTCAGCTTTAAACTATCTTTCATATTAAATCTGGTTTGGCTGAAGGATCTCTTGGCATCTCACACTAAACAGCTTTAAGGTCTCACAAACTGATTAGAAGGGCAGATATGTTGAATCTTTAACCAAGACATCTTTTCTACAAATAATTCTGTTCAGGATAAAGACTGGACAGCAACCAATGCAAGAGTCCCTAAAAATAAACATAAATAAATAAGAAAATAAATGCAAACAAAAAGAATCACAAAACCAAAGAGTAAATATGAGGAAACTAAGTTTTACTCTTCCCCATGACAGTTTAAAAAATTGACACCAACATAAGTGTCACAACCCAAGGGTGTGATTTTTTGTTTGTGCGCGCTTCGGCACTGCTAAATTATTTCCCACCACTCGTAGCTTTCTTTGCAGGGTGCATTTCTTAGCTGCAGAAAGGAGATGCACGTTGCAAGGAGTTCCCGCCATTTGTATTCAGATTCGTGCCCCACTATTGATCAGTTCTAAATTATTCCTACGTGGCGGCTAGCGATTGGCTTGCTAGCCGTATAAGAGGCTTTAGTGGGTTTCGCCCCAGATGGAGGACTCCACGAC